CTAACTTTATTTTATATTTTAATGATCATGGAGAGCTACCTGATTTTATCTTTATACTTTTTATCTAACTACTTAATATTCTTTTAATAAGTTGTATTGTCTACCCCAGATAAGAGCTTCTCAAGCAGTTTTTGATAAAATATATAGCTTGCCATTTTGGAAAGTATAATCAGAAAGTGGCCTAACATAAAACTTCAGGCTTACCAAGCCAGAAGCTTTGATGACACTTTTTGTTTGTTTCTTCTGTCTTTTTGGGGTCACACCCGGAGATTCACAGGGGTTACTCCTGGCTTGTGTACTCAGAAATTACTCCTGGTGGTGCTTGGGGGACCATATGGGATGCTGGGAATTGAACCCGGACCACCGTGTGCGAGGCAGCCCCCCTAACCCCTAACCGCTGTGCTATTGCTCCAGCCCCTTTAATGACACTTCTAAAGCACTATTTTCGTAACTGTGAGTAAGCTGAAGAACCAAAACATAATATTGCTCTACCCCAGGACCAGCAATAGCAGGAATCTCAGGCCCAAGAGTCAAGAAGAGGAAAGTATTCAGTTAGAGCCCAATACCAAGACACTTTATTGTAGGGGCCAGAGATAGTACAGTGGGTGAGGGGTTTGCCCTGCCATCCGGGGGCACCACATGGTGTTTCCCACCATCACCATCAGGAGTGATTCCAGAGAACAGAGCCAAGAGTAAACCCACATACGGCCATTTGTGGCCTTAAAACAACAAACAAAAGTTGTGGAAGAACATAGATGCTAATAAATTTGTGTTGAGTCAACAAAATAGCACAAGAGAAAACTCCTCCAGATTCCTGTCGTCCTCCAGGGCTTCCCAGTCAGAAGGCAAGAAGGATGGCATTCACTCAATGCCTCTTTTGCAGACCACAACACCCAAAAGGAGAGAGAGAACACAGGGGATTGCCCTGCCACAGAGGCAGGGGGGGATGGGGAGATTGGGGGTGGGAGGGAAATTACCCATGGTGGTGGAAAATGGGCACTGGTGGAGGGATGGGTATCTGATCATTGTATAATCGAAACCCAAGCACAAAAAATTGTAAATCTACAACTGTACCTCATGGTGTTTCACTAATAAAAAAATAAAAATAAAAATAAAAATAAAAGAAGGATGGCATTGTAGTGTTCAGAACTCACCCTCCCGAAGAGTGTGGACAAAGGAGGGAATTGGAAATGAGGAATTTAGACAATTCACTCAAAAGAGGAAAAGGCATGGTAATAATTGTGAATGGCAGAAATGACTATAACATTATTCGCCATTTTCAGAAGAAGATGAAGAAAGACCTTTTTTTTTCTGACCTCAGTATATGAACCCCAGGTTCTTTCTGATTTCCAGTTCAAGGTCTCCTTAAATAAGCACACACAGAAGGCAAGATAAAATAGTATCACAATCAATCACAACCATCCTGTTATTCGTCGATTGCCTTGAGCAGGCCCCAGTAACGTCTCCTTCGTCCTAGCCCTGAGATTTTTTTTTTTTAAAGTGCTATATTCAAGGCTCTTTCAGGGTTAGGAGAATGAGACCCTTTATTGTTACTGGTATTTGGCATATTGGGTACGCCACGGGGAGTTTGCCAGACTCTGCCGTGTGGGCAGGTTACATTCCGTAGCCTGCCAGGTTGTCCAAAGTAGGAATGAGATGATAAGATGTCACAATAAGATGTCGCGTGGCTGCGAATGTGGCCGCACGCATCCAGGAGCTGGGTTTTATAGTCTCTGATTCTTGGCCGCTGATGGGATTACACGGCGCCAGGGGGCCAGTTGGTGGGTGTGACCCCCGCCTACTGGAATTTGGAGGATCTGGGTGGAGGATGCTCAGCCCCGATCCGAGCAGGCTTGGAGCTCTCAGCCCCGATATACTATTTTATTTTATTTACTAATAAATAAAATAGTATATTGGTGAATATTTGTGTTTCTGCAACATGTTTGCTAGTCTCAGTTTTGCTGTGATGGGTCGTCAACATTGTTTTACAGGGTGCATGGGACAGGTAGATATGAAAGAAAGTAAAGTTCAATGATCAAGGCAAATAAAGATATAAGTTGGCAAATATAGATAACAGTAACTAGAAACTCAAATTTACATTAAGTTGCCACCTTTTTGATGATTTAAGGGGGAATAACAGGTTTTTTTTTTATTAACAGAAGTGCCAAAGCAGTTCAATAAAAGAAGTGATTTTACTTTTTATTTATTTATGAGGATAAGAACATTATTTGGGTCTCTCAAAGAGGAATCGAAAGAGCTATGCTTGGAATATCACGCTTCACTCAAAGAAGAGATAGAATCCGGAGTTCCGATCTCCGTCAACGCTCAAGAATCAGGGACACTGTCTCATTTGCCAAGGCATCAAAAATCAGATGGGCTGGACATGTAATGAGGTTGTCAGACAACCACTGGACTAGAGCCATTACTGACTGAATTCCACGGGACATCAAAAGATTGCGTGGACACCCACCTACAAGATGTTCAGACTTCTTCGTCAAGACCCTGAATGATCGGTTTGAGACTCTGCATGTTTCTAGAACAAACAGATGGCATTGGGCTACACTAGCACGCAACAGAGATGAATGGAGATGTTACTGGCACCCGCTCGAGTAAATCGATGAATAGCAGGGGATCAAGTGATCAAGTGATTTACTTATTTTTGCTTTTGTGGGTCACACCTGGTGATGCACAGGGGTTACTCCTGGCTCTGCACTCAGGAGTTACTCCTGGTGGTGCTCAGGGGACCATATGGGATGCTGGGAATTGAACCCGGGTCAGCCGCATGCAAGGCAAACCCCCTACCCGCTGTGCTATCTCTCAAGCTCCCAAGGAAGGAATTTTAAAAATTATGCAGGAGGGCCTAAATATAGTACAGCAGCTTAAACACATGCCTTATATGTAAGTGACTCAGGTTTACCTCTGATACCCATATGGTTCCTTGAGCCTGCCAGGAGTGATCCTTGACCTTGACCACAAAGCCAGTTCTAAGCACAAATAAACAAATAGATAAGGTGCAGGAGCACCAGAGAGATTCAAAGTTTTTTTTTAAAATTATTTATTTATTTATTTATTGAATCGCTGTGGGAAAAATTACAAAGCTCTCAAGTTTAGGTCTCAGTCATGCAAATATCAATCACAATTCCCTTTACTGATACTTATTTTTCACCACGAAGAACCCCAATAAACCCCAACCCTCAAACCCCCCTCCAATGTCTGTGGAGTAGATGAATTCTAGTTAACACTCTGTCTACTTTGACTAGCTTCATTGTTTTGATAAAAGTTGCACCATTATTATTTAGACTTTACCCACCCCCCCCCAAACTCAGCCATGTTGAAAAAGCATTGTGAAATGATCTGCTTTCTACAGCTGGGTTCAAGAATTAAATGATGTCGTGCGGCCACTATCGCGGCCACGTGGTTTTGGATTTCTGCTATTTTATTTATTAACCCTGCAAGTATTTCTACTGAGAGTCAGATAATTAAGAGATTGGTCTCTGTGCTTCTGGGGCCGTGGCCGTGCTGAAGAGCCGCTCGTGGGGGGCAACTGGTGACCTCGGTCGGGCGTGAAGGACGGGCCGGGGCGCCCCCCGTCCCATGAGGTACCCATCGCGCCCCCACTCCCGGCTCAGACCTGCTCTCCACCAGGCTCCCATGCGGCCGCCATCTTCGAGATTCAAAGTTTAAGTTCAAAGATTAAGCCCATCCCAAGAATGTATGAGAGTTTGAGTCCCAACATCACATTAGAGTGTGCATCACTGGTGTAACCCTGGTGGCTCCTTAGTACGGCCGGCCTTGTATGATCCTGTTGGCCCTGGTGGTTACTGAGCACCTTTGGCCATGTGTGATAGTGGCTGTTAATTAAAAAATGGTGCTGGAGCAATTGGGCATTCAAAAAGAATGACAATAATATTCACTTAAATTTCACACACACTGGCTAAAACATGAATCACAATGTAAATATAAAACAAGGAAACTACAAAACTTTTAGGAAGAATGACAGATCATTTTCAGACCAAAGGGAAGGTACAGAGTCTGGAAACGTGAGAGCAAAAGTTGTTAGTATTAAGAAAAATTGAAAATGCATGCCTTGTTAAAACCTAAAATCATTGTTTAGAGAAAGACTAGTAAGAGGATAAAAAGACAAACCATAAACAAAAAAATATTTGCAAACCACATACTCAGAGCAAAAGACCATAGTTGGGTATATGTATGAGAAACTCTCACAACTCAACAATAAAAAAATAAGTGATAGCAAAATATAAAGTAGTGCCAATACCAAATGCTGGCAATTTTATAAAGAAATTATATCACACACACACATATATATATATATACATATGTATATATATATATATTCCTATATATGTATATATACATATATATGTATATATATTCATATACATATGTATGTATATATATATATATATATATATATATATTCCTCCTCCCCTCTCAGAGAGCCTGACAAGCTACCAAGAGTATCTCTCCCGCACGGCAAAGCCTGGCAAGCTACCCATGACATATTCGATATGCCAAACACAGTAACAAGTCTCACAATGTTACTGGGCCTGCTCGAGCAAACCCATGAACAACGCGAGGACAGTGACAGTGATATTTATCAAGGTAAAGTTAAATGGTACAATCACTCTGATATATAGTTTAGGAATTTCTTAGGAAATTAAACATGCAAGTTCTAGTTTTTAAATGTGAGGAATGCTTATTGACATTTTAATTTAATATTTATTCTGGTTCATAAAATACAAGCTCTGTGTCCCATTGCTATAATGATGGTGAAATAGATTTATTGATATAAAATTATCTTAATGATCTTGCCTCTCTGAAAATGCAAGAAAACCATTTTTAACTGTGAATATTTTCTTTACCATGCAAAATAAATTTCATTAAATTACTATAAATCAAAATCCTATCCCTTGAAATTAAACATAGACATTCTATTACACATAGAAAAAAAAAGAATAGAAAAACCAATACACCAATCATCTCATAAAATACTTTTATTTTTGTAACACAAACACCTTTCTTCAGAAATATTACTAGGGCATGTTTCTTACAGCTTTATATTTGGGGATAAATATATTTAAAAAAATTATTCCTACTAAGCTGTGATATATAATGTTTTTCTAACAACATTACATGTTTCTTTCAGAAAGCAATTAGAAAAACTATTACTACTGCAAAGAATTCTACTTAATCCTAAGGTATAGAATCAACAAAAATGGTGAAAAAAGTCTTCTGATTAAATGTTTAAGACCATCATAGGGATATTTAGTTTCCTCCACAAAGAGCCACCAGAATTTTTTCATAATCTCCCTTGGTTTCATCCTGTTGATTAAAAAACAGAATATACTAAATGATAATTGAAATCACAATGAGTATATCTTTATTTATAAGTTATTGTATTTTTAAATAAACAGTAATATAATATATATCAAAGCACATCTGTTATCTCGAGTTTTTATAAAGATAATGAATATATTTAAATTATATAATCCTTATAGCTGATAACTGATATTTGTTAATTTTTCGTTATATAAATAGCAGTCATGTTTATGATTTAAACTGTGACCATCTCTGAATTTATTATGTTGTAAATTGTGTTATAATTTTCCAAGAAAATATTTGCAAGGAAGGAAGGAAGGAAAGAAGGAAGGAAGGAAGGAAGGAAGGAAGGAAGGAAGGAAGGAAGGAAGGAAGGAATTTCAGTATAGAAACAGCTAAGAGTGAAAGTTCAGTTTACCTAAAAGATAACATAGCAAATCAATCTTATATAAGACATTTAAAGATGTGTTAAGTCAGCCTTTCTCTTTGAAGGGTTTGCAAAAGGAGTTGCGATTTGTGAGTTAGTCTTATGAAAATTACAACATACCAGGATGGCTTGGCAGAGAGAGATGCCATACAGCTGCTGATAGTATACTTTGATATCATTCATATCAATTTCAGAGCGGGAAACCATAATTCTGATCAATTTCTTATGACGAGTCCCAATGCCCTGTCCAAAATAAAGAATGGTGTTTCTCATAGTCATCAACAACAAATCCAACAGAATTTTATTCTAATAAGGCAATGTATTGTTCCCAACACCCCCTCCTTCCATTGGCTGGAACAATGATTTTTCTTAATGGGAAGATATGAAAATAAATGTAATTTCAAACAATAAGAGGTGCTCTTCCACAAACAACAATTTCCCCTGAAGAAAGCATGCAGGCAAACATTACCTTCATGGCACGGTGCAGCTCCTCAGCAAAGTACCTTGGTTTGCTTGTGGCACACATCACTGAGAGAGAGAGAGAGAGAGAGAGAGAGAGAGAGAGAGAATTTAATTAATACGTGGGCATGAAAGAAACCAGAAAGAGCAAGTTGTGCAATAAAGATTCTATACGTCTGTGTGGATGGGGTTGGGCATCTTGACAGTGAAGGGAGCTGCCAAGGTTGCACATAATAGTGCTCAGGGAATCATGAGATGCAGCTCCTAAAACCCAGGACCTGTGCACTTCCAGTTGATGACTCACTGTCTCAGCCCTTTACCAGCAAGGTTCTATTCTCCATCCTTAGTCTACTTCCAAGACCCAAGGTGGGGTTTATGGCTTATAAGAGACTCTCTAGTGGGTGGTTTTGAATATTCTTTTCCTTTACATCACCATCTATCTTCTTTCATCTTTTTTTTTTTTTTGCTTTTTGGGTCACACCTGGCGATGCACAGGGGTTACTCCTGGCTCTACACTCAGTACTTACTCCTGGCGGTGCTCAGGGGACAATAAGGGATGTTGGAAATCGAACCCGGGTCAGCCACATGCAAGGCAAACACCCTGTGCTATCTCTCCAGCCCAATCTTCTTTCATCTTAAATCCTCTTAAATCCAAGGTGATTTTGCTATTTTGAGTAAAATTGACTTTTCCTACTAAAAGTTGGTTAATGGGCATTAAAGTCCACATAGGCATGGAGTATAGGCCATTTTCATGTTGATAAAAAGAATTCTTAAGTGATATGTGATAGATTTTAAATATGCAGTTGACAAAACATGAATAAACATGCATATTAGTAAGATTGTCCAGCTTACTACTCAAAGTATAATCCTTGGACCAAAAGATTGACATTAACTAGGAAACTGTAAGAAATGTAGAATTCCAGGCCCCATTTAAATAAAAAATAAAATAGCAATCTGTATTTATACTAGATTTTCAGGAGATGTGTGTGTTCCCATTACTGTTTAAGGTGCACCATTTTAGAATGCAGGTTCTCAACTCTGCTTGGTCATCTGAATGGCATGAAAACTGGGTCCAGCGATAGTAGAAACAATAGGGTGCTTCTCTTGAATGATTCTAAGCCTAGTTTGATCCCTGGCAACAGACATGGTCCCCCGAGCCTGGCCATGGGTGATCCCTGAGTGCAGGGCCTGGAGTAATTGCTGAACATCACCAGGTATGACCCCAAAAGAGCAAAACAAAAAACAGAAAAGACCTTGAGAACTTTGATTCCTCAACAGATCTCAGAAGCTGCCAGAGATTGAATGAATTGGACTCTCCGATCTTGAACATGATTATATAGTCATCAAGTGACAAGTCATAATTTGAATCTACATTGATCTGATCCTAAATGTCATGCTCTTAATGGCATTTCTAACTTTCTTTTGCGCTAAATTTAGTCTTGTCCATCACTGGGCATGAGCAACTGCTCCCTAAGTATTTTTCATCTGCCTATCTTCTAAACAGAGGAATAATACCTATTGGATTTAAAAGCCTACTGTCTACAGAGAGTTTCCCACTCACATGGCAGAGTCTGTCAAGCTACCTCTGGCGTATTCGATATGCCAAAAACAGTAACAATAATGGGTCTCATTCCCATAGTCCTGAAAGAGCCTCCATTTCGGCAGCATTGGGAAAAACAAGTAAGGAAAGGTTGCTAAAATCTCAGGACTGGGACAAATGGAGACACTACTGGTGCCCGCTTGAGTAAATCAATGAACAATGGAATGACAGTGATACAGTGATACAGTGATACTGTCTACCTTTAGCTAAATATTCATTAAATAATCTTCAATTTTGTCTCTTTTCGAAGACTTAAACAGATTATCTGAACTCCGAGGAGATGGGAGTTATTCAGTTTTATTTTTGTTCATTTTCTTAATAAATTATGGACAACATTAACAATTTCAAGTTAGCACTTTCTCTCCAGGCCTACATACCAATGGTTTGGAAGCATTTTTCGACGTCGCCTTTCATTTCCAGTTTCAGTACCTTGTTCATGTCATGCTCACTGTACTTGCTGTACTTCTGAAACACTAAGTAAATAAATTTAAACTTAGAAATAATACACAGCATCCCAATCTTTAGCACACTTTAGCAGACTCAGAACAACTCTTTTCTTTGGAACATCTGAATGTCAATACAATTTTAAAGCTCATTTACTCAATGAGCATATTTTGAAAGCTTCATCTTCTTCTATGGATGTAACTGGCATGATTATTTTGGTGCTCTTGTGGAAACTGGGGACATTTTTGCAAGTGTTGACATTTATTAGAAATGCTATGTGATTGACAACCATAGCAATATATCAGAACTAAGTGTCATAGCAAATTAATGTTCCCTTATACATAAGAATCTTTGTCGTAAACTTCTCTTAATTGCAATATTGGAACTCAGTGTACTATTATACTATAACAGACTTGAGGTGATTCTCATGATTTTCCCTTTATCTTGCCTTCCAGAAATCTTAGAGTTAAATCTTGTGCTCAAAGATAAATAGTCTTATTTTTATCCCCGTAGCATCTATATATTATTTTCTTCACTGATCTTTTACTCATTTTTCTTCATTGCAATATCAGTTGATCTATTGTGAGCACATATTTTGTCATATATATTACATATATTGTGGGAGTATGGGTAGAAATAGGGAAAGCATAGAAATAGTGTTCTGTATATATATTACAGTCACAAAAATGTGTTTCAAATACTATAAAATGGTTGCTGAAAGTGGGATACATTAAAGATTCAAGAACACTATATTAATTTAGTACAGTTTGTGGCAGATTGAGACATCTCTCCCTTTAATATATCATAAACAAAATATATCTTTTTATGAATAGTTTCTGGGGAGCGTTTTATTATTATTTTTAAAATTCTTACCTCTGCGAAGATGGGGATAGCTTCTGGTGGTCAGGATGGTACTGAAGACATTGACATCTGTCCCTTTTCTTTTCTCTCCTGCTTCATATAAGGCCTGTCAAATAACAGAAAAATAAATACTTGGTTATCTGCTGGCTTGATATCTGAAAAATAATGTCAGATTTCTGACCGCTGCTTGCATCTAACATGATTTGAACTAATAATGCTAAGATTTCAAATTTCTTGAAGATAGGAAATTTGTTTGTCAAATATCTTATCCCGTAATATATTGGAATGTCTTCCAAAGTTTAGAGACTAGAGTGTGAAAAAACCACTTTCGTTAAATTAAACTACTTTAAGAATGTGCTTTATATTATGACAGTTCCAAAAGTCTATCTAGAAGCTTTAAAATATATAAATCAGCAAACTTTGCTATTCAATCACTAACAACTAAAATCTGCATCTCAGATGTTGATGGGGTATTCTTGGATTTAAATTCCAATTGTGCCACAAATTCCAAATCTCTAATTTAATGGTTATGAAATCTTAAATAATATGGCCTTATTAGATTACAGTTTTCCCTCTTTTATAAATGACAAAAAGATAATCCCTGCCTTAGTATCACAACTTTTCTATGTTAGGTAAAGGTAAAGGTAAAGGCCCTCCTGTTGATCATCAATTTGCTCGAGCCGGCCCAGTAACGTCTCCACTGGAGACTTTGTTGTTACTGTGTTTGGCATATCGAATGTGTCACGAGGAGCTTGCCAGGCTCTGCCGTGCAGGCGAGATACTCTCGGTAGCTTGCCGGGCTCTCCGAGAGGGGCGGAGGAATCGAACTCGGGTCAGTCATGTTGGCTGCATGCAAGGCAAACGCCCTACCGCTGTGCTATCACTCCAGCCCTATGTTAATTGAAATATAAATTATCCTCACCCTTCAGAATCACACTAATCCATGTGACTATATTAAGTATATGTCACAAAGATTTCATAGTCTTAAAATGGGAAGGAACAAATGAAAAAAGAAAAATAAGAAAATCATGTTTTCACAACAAACTATTCTTCAAAATGATTCATCTAGTGTTTCACTAATAAAAATTTTTAAAAAAAGAAAATGATTCATCAAAATCAGTTTCATTTCCTTTTAATACACTACTGCCCAATTTTTTATAAGGTCTATTCAAAATGTCGATGTCTCATTTTTCTTCTCTAGGACAGCTCAGGTACAGGACAATCAATGCACATAATTCAGAAAATGAATTTTAGGTGACACTGTCCTTTCAGAGGATCCTAGGTTTGCTGTACAAGGAAGGTAGCTAGTGGTAATCTCATATAACATAGACTTATTTGGAATAGAAAGCCAATTCCCTGGGAACTTGTAAGTACTTGCTTACCCTGGCATCTGTGTCAGCCAAGTCTTCATTCATGCTCACATCCTCAGATCGGTCACCCTGAAAAAAATATCCCATTCTCTTATATTGATTTCACACATGTCACCACATGAAGAACTTAATCCTCTTTAAAACAACAAAGTAATGTTCTTGAGCAAGAGAGCAAATTTCCAGAGGGTAATAAAAGGTAAGACTTCCGTCTTTACACAGGAGGAAGCTCCTGAAGTTTTTTAAATTTTACCTTAACTAGAGAAAGCAAAACCTTCCGATATTCTCCAGACGTGTCAAACGTGATGTCTTTAGCCAGATCTCTCTTATGTTCTGAAAGAAAAAAAAATTATCTTGTAGCAAATTGGTGATGATGATGACGATGTAATGATATGCCTGGTATCTGTATATTGACCTGCTAGTTACTATGCCAATTGTTCAATAATGTTTAAATATTAGTATTTGAAGAATAAAATAGAGAAATGAGAGCAAGAAAAAATTTTAATTATTAAATGTAGTTCCTAAAAGACAAAAGAAGAAATATAGCTAACAATGCTAATAAAAAACTACTTATATAAGCACCATTGAATCATTGCATCATTATTAAATAATACTGAAATTGAGAGAAAACCGTAAAGAAAGAATATAGCAGGTAGTGTGTTTGCCTTGTACACAGACCACCAGGTTCAATCCTTAGCACTGTAATATGGTACCCTGAGCACCACTAGAAGTGAAGCCTGAGTACAGAGCCAGGGGTAAGCCCTGAGCACTGCCAAATATGACCCCAAAAATAATAAAATAATAAAGAAAAACTAACAGTGGAACTACTATAACATTTATTTAAAAGAGTAACTACAAGTACTTGCTTGAATATAGATATCTACATTAACAACTACAAATTATGTGATAGCTTAATATGTGAAATATATGTATATATGTGTAAATATAGATTTAAAATTTTACTGAACTCTAAAAGTTGTTTAAACACCTGTTTTAACTATAAATAGATACATTTATTTAAAAAATTACAGTTAAAATGGACTTTGTTTATAATTGCACAGAACTTCTCTAAGTTATCATTGAGCTATATTTTGGGTAGGAGTAGAGAAAAATGTACACATTTTGCTTTTGTAAACATCTTTTATCATGCAAATAAATTAAAAGAGTAATGACCCTTTTGAATATTGTCACTTAAATATGATCTAAGATAAATACTGGTAATATAATCATTTTAAAATGAGGTTACAAATGTTCTTATTCTGATTCCTTTTTATGTTGCTCTGAAAATAACATGTGGAGCTGGTGCATTCACTATAGCTGGACTGAAAAATTAAGGCAAAATATCCTATGTCATCTCACATACTAGACTGAGAAATAAATTTACTGGGAACTTGAAAACCAAGAAAAGGAAAATAGTTAAATCTCAGCATTGCCCAAGACTCAGGTGCAGCTAATCTCTTGACAACATTGACTTTATCAGTGAGGAGAAATGTTCTCTGAAGAGTTAAAGTGAGACAAGATATCTTTCATCTTCATGGGTCTAGCTAGAAACTAAGAGTAAGTGAGGTATTACATGACCCTTACCTAAAACTTACTAAAACTTACCTTCCATATAGACTCTATTAATTTCTCTGATTTCTCTGTTACATCTTGATGCCAAGATCTCATTCAGAGTATCTTCATCAGTTCCCGCACCCTTTAAAAAATAAAGAGAAATAGAGAAACATCTCCTGTTAAGAGTAGCAACTAGACTTTATAACCTGGAATTTGTTCAGAGTTGACATTTATTTCAATTTCCTCAGAATTTTCAGTAAATAGTAAATAGTCACTGTCACTGTCCTTCTGTTGTTCATCGATTTGCTTGAGCAGACCCAGTAACGTCTCCATTGTGAGACTTGTTACTGTGTTTGGCATATCGAATACATCACGGGTAGCTTGCCAGGCTTTGCTGTCTGGGCGAGATACTCTTGGTAGCTTGCTGGGCTCTCCAAGAGGGGCAGAGGAATTGAACTTGGGTTGACCGGCTCGACCACGTGCAAGGCAAATGCCCTACCGCTGTGCTATCGCTCCAGCCCAAAGAGTCACAATTTGATAATATAATAACAATTTGATTATTATTATAATAAGCTTTCTTTTATTGCTGTTAACCAAAAGTGCATTTGATATCAATATTTAGGACAAATACATACATGGTCAGTGCAGTGCTGGAGTGATAGCACAGCAGTAGGGCATTTGCCTTATGTGCAGCTGACCCACGCGACCCAGGTTCAATTCCTCTGCCCCTCTCAAAGAGCCCGACAAGATACTGAGAGTATCACACCCACACGGCAAACCCTGGCAAGCTACCCATGACATATTCAATGTGCCAAACACAGCAACAACACATCTCACAATGGAGATGTTACAGGGCCCGCTCGAGCAAATCGATAAACAACAGGACAGTAACAGTGACATTGTGATTATATAGAGCCATCATGAGTAGGACAAAATACACTATTGTTGTTAATCCCAATATTTATAATGAATTAATTCATTAATTTTATTCCCACTTGATAGGTCCTATGCTAGATATTGAGGAAATGTTAGTAGACATAAGGGGACTTGACCATTACTTTGTCTTGAGGGGAGATTTGCTAAAAAGCAAAGGAGTTGATACCTTCATGGCAGCGTAGAGTTCATCAGCATCGAATTGAGCTGGAGTTTTTAACAGCGCCAAAGCAACTTCCTCAACGTGACCTGTAAGGGCTTTCTTCAGAGCAGCATCCAGGGGCTGGAACAGAGATTATCAAGACTTCAATTCCACAGCAATGAGATATTACCTGACCTCAGGTCACAGTACTGCTGAGTACTAATCAACAGCTGGGCAGTATAGAGCTCCTCTTCTTTATCAAACAATCCCAGGCATTTAGAAGCTATTCTAATCTTTTCATTTTCGAGTGATAAAGATAAAATTTTCTAGATTTCTGATAAATTAAAGGAGAGGGTCACAATCATTAATGTGGAAAGTAATTCACAAAGGTGAAACCTAGAAGTTTGTGATTTAACAGAAACAATAATAGCAATACTTTAAAAGAGTAGACTCTCAAGTTTTCAGTAATTGAAGTATACACTACTCAAAGCATTGACATTATGGAATTTTCAATCAAAATTCTTTGCCAAAATTTGCCCATATGTGGTATAAAAAGTGTAAGTAAAGTAAAAAAGTAAAGGCCCTCCCGTTGATCATTGATTTGCTCAAGCGGGCCCAGTAACATCTCCATTGGAGACTTTGTTGTTACTGTGTTTGCCATATGGAATACTCTTGGTAGCTTGCCGGGCTCACCGAGAGGGGCGGAGGAATCGAACTCGGGTCGGCCACGTTGGCTGTGTGCAAGGCAAACACCCTACCGCTGTGCTATCACTCCAGCCCCCAAAAGTAACATGTAAGGTCTATAGTAACATGTAAGATCTCTAGCATTAAAAGTGTAAAGCATGCCTTTAATGTAGAAATGTATGCATGTACAAACTACATTTAGGCATTAATCACTTCAGATTAAATATTAGTAGAAAGCACATTTAAATTGAAATGTTTTCTTTATTGTCCATGATAAACTTAATGCTTACATACAAGTTAACAAGTTTTCTCTAGTATGGAGTACTACATCCTCGAAGAACTTAAATTGAAATGACCTCTGTATTAGATCAGTAAATTCTCTAAAAAGGGTTCAGTTGCAAGTATGTGGATAAATCCTGCAACTCTAGTTCTTCTTGTAATGAAATATACTACAGTCTGTATGTATTTAAAAACAGGAAACTGTGCTTCAACATCCGCGTTTCAACATAAGTGTGATTGAAATTAAAGGTTCAAATTTGCCCTTCCCACCTACCTTCCCCTTTTCCTGGAGATACGCTGCCTTGATCTGCTGACGCTGTGCGTTATTTCTCTTAGTAAGGATGTCAATGATGGTTGCTTCATCCACACCTGGAAATTGGAAGATCGAACAGTTTACAATGGAGTTGCATCATCAATCCTTGATACCAAATGATTCAAGATCAAGTTGCTCTGAATAAACTTCCTAACAAAGAGAAACAATTATAGATAGCATGCCGGAGGAACATGAATTGTAGTCCACTCCTTTGAGTAGGAAAAGAACTGATTCCTAGGATTCCTGTGCTTCAGTGTCTTAACCTAGTTCAGATGTTACGAGAGGGCTCCTAGGGATGGCTTGGTCGATAAAGGTGTGTGGTTTGCCAGTGTGAGACCATGAGTTTGACTCCCCAGCACTGTTCACCTGCACCAGAGTGAGTCTTAGCAACTTTATTGTTTGGGACTCTTGGAACTGCAACAGTAACAGTGAGTACTAACAGTCATTGTAATAGAGCAACACAGCTTTAGAGTGCAAACCCCAGAGAGAACCACAACTAAAGATGTCTGAACACCAATATCAGGAGTATGATTCAGAGTGAATACTTGTACTGATTACTGCATCTAAGACGCATGACTCCTGGTGAGCTCCATGACTGAGTGCAAGCACCAAAATCAGGTGATCACCCCTTGACAAACATCACAATCGCATGTGCAAGTACCACAGTTGTGTGGTTCTGTGATCACCACAACCAGCTGATATGAGGGCTGGTTGTCATAGTGGGAACAAAAAGAAAAAGGATAGAGGGAAAAAAGAGAGAGGATATTTAGGTGCATAATAACATACTTTCCTAAGTTGCCACATGTAAGAGGGGGGCAGTTAGAATAGAAAAGAGAACCACTGTGACAGTGATAGATGAAATGATCACTCTGGACAAAAATTGAGTGCTGAGAGTAGGTAAAGGGATAAACATGATTGTCAGTACTTGTATTGTGAACCAGAAGGTCCAGAAGGAAAGGGGGGGTGAGGAGAGGCAGGGAGAAGAAAATTGCCTGCCATAGTGGCAGACTATAATGGGGTGGGGTATGAGGGTGGTGGCAGAAAGGACACTGAGCATATTAGTGGTGGGAAATGTATACTAGTGAAGGGATGGGCATTGGAAGATCCTATGACTGAACAGATTTATAACTGCGTGTTTCACAATGCCTCAATAATTTTTTTTAATTTAAAAATAAAATATTTCCGACAAATAAGCCACCTCCAAATGACTTGACTAGTGATTTACACTTGGGTTTTAAATACCTATATAAGCAATATTTTATGAAAAATGTATTTGCCCATTTTTAAAGTCCCCGTGGGAACAGAGATTTCAACACTGAGTTTCTACTAGAAATCAACCGCTTAGGATATTTCTTGTAAGGTCATAGAGATACTTCAGGAGTTAATTGAGGCAATCGGTTTGCATGTGGTCAACCCTGGTTCAATCCCTGACTCTGTCTATGGTTTCCCTAAGCTCATAGTCAGGAGTGAACTATGAGCATAGAGTCAGGAGTTAAGCCCTGAGCACTCTGGGAATTCTCCTCACCACAAAGAAATGAAAGGAAGAAAGAAATTGGTCGTATCTGTGTAGATTCCATTGGTTTCACCAAAAGTTCCTGTATTCTGAAAGTAAATGTATTTTCATTTGACAGCAGATTTTTTTAAATATATTTATAGTGAAACAGATGCCACTGAACATGTCTTTTAAGTAGCCTTTCATAAGACCATTCTGAAATATCCAGGAAGGGAGGGTTTGGAGAACTCATAATTACCTTTAACTGTTATTGCTTTATGCAAAGCCTCAACATCTGAGGATGGATTAAAGGAAGGATAGGGATACACGGCAGACCCAGAGCCACCTTTGGATCCTTTTACAGTTTTCTGTGAATGAGAAAGAAAGAAATCATCCTCCATTCATTCATATTATTTTCTGTATTATGATTTAACTAAGTTACTTCATCGTCACTTGACTTACAATGTATTCTTGCTCATCGTTATCAATAAACCAGGCCTGCTTGAGGAATTCTGATACCATCGACATTTTTTAAGTATCTGCAAGGGAAAAATGGGGAGATGTAGAAAGTGTTCATCAAATCCATGAAAGTTAAATCTATTATAATCATGTGACCTGAGCTGTAATAAAATAAATGAATGAAAGAACACAACCCACCACACATGTACACCACCTCTCCCATACACAATACGTAGAGCAAACTTGGCCTTACAATCCAAAACAAAATAGTAAATGTTAATTCATTTGAGGGAATCTTATTCTATAGTCCCAAAATCTCTACACAGAAATGTAGCTTTTCCTTGACAAACTCAATTTAGACTTCACAATTTCAATAATTTCTCAAAAGAAGCACAATTGCTGAACAGAAGCACTAGTGATTTGTTTCATTATTCTAGATTCACAGACCAAATATATACCAAAACTGCTCAAAAGTATTAAAATATCACCTTTTATCTCAAAGAATTTACAACTACTCTACTCTGCCCAGAAAACAAATAAACTAAAGAAATTTCTTAAATTAGGAAATGCTGGCTAATCTAAGCCTCTTCTCGAATGACCCAAGATTAACATGACAGAAACGTTAATAAAAACTTGACATAGTTGAAAAGCTGAAAGCTTACCAGGGCATTATTAAATACTTTAAAGGTATTCCCAAACATTATTTTTCTTTGGAAAACATAAAAAGATTTTGAAAAATGAAAGTAGCTTGATTTTATTTATATTTAAAAAGATCTTGCATCCTGTGTAATGGAGAATGGATGAGTTAAACTATTTTGTTTAATAGAGATCACTTAACAAACTTTGGAGGTATATAGGATTAATTGGTACCATAAAAAAAAAGCCTAAATAAAGAACTTAATGTGTAGTTTTATAAAGGACAATTATATATAAAAATCTATAGGATTGAATTCAGATTCAAAACTCTATTCACAAATTCATAAATTTAAGATGTAATTTTCTCCCTGAATGGTTTTTCCATTCTGTGTTAGAAAATTATTTCAGCACATGGTGTGATCACCATTTCCATAATTTTTCCTATTTATGGTCAAGATATTGCTTTGACATGCTTTCCATACCTTTAAAAAACATATAAAATTTATGTAACAAATTTTTATACTCTAACAGGAATTTTAGGGTAAATTTGCCACCCTGTATGATTTCTTTGAAAAAACTCTATCTCAATTTTTTTTTTTATTGTTCTCATCCTTCAGCAATATTTTTTAATGAATCAGTTACTTTTTTTTAAACCTGATATATCTTTAAAGCTAATGTGTTTTTTGTTTTCTCCACAAAAGAAATTATCAATGACACTTTTTGTCTATGAATGTGTGTTTTTTGTCTCCGTATTCAATCTTTTTCCACATTTTTCTACTCATTCCTCCAGAGACCACTTATGATTTTATGTCAGGTTATTGGAAGGAAATCTCTACAGTTTAACTTTTGATCTGAAGTTAATGACTCATGAGAACTAATACTATAACCTAATTCCTTAAAAGCGTGTTCAGACAAAATGTTTTAATCTCCACTAGCTAAAAAATAACCACTGTTGCAAGTAATGCGATTAAATATATGAGAAAAGTATTATCCAAAACAGAAATAATCTCTACTTGATTATCGCAAGGTTTGATCCAATTACTATTCTATCATCTGTGAGAAGAATCAATATACTGTACATCATTTAATATCTTCCTTCCCACAATCCTTACCCTACCCCCCACCAATATGAAGCTATTTTCCATCAGTAAAGTCATGATGTGCAATTTATATGTGGTATTAGTTCCTGTTACAGTTGTAATCTGATGCAATTGCTGTTGGTGAAAGTTTTATTTTACAATTGTTTTCATTGGTACATCCAAAAGCTTTAGCAATTTTTGCTGCAATTTTTGTCATTTTATTCTTGCCTTTAATAGAGTGGAACCTCAAAGTGAGTGGTATAATTGTTCATTTAACAGTTTTATTTTCCAAAAATTTCAGCTCTATAATTATAAAATGAAACCATCAAAATATTTAATAAGAAATAAAGAACATTATTTATTATAATTTAAAAGATAAATCTCTACATCAAATTATATTCTATGAAAACTTTACCTCATCTTGTTACTTCTGAAAAGGCTCACCTACCTAAGACCAGAAGGGTAGCTCAAATGGTCAGAGTACATGCCTCGCATGCATGAAACCCAAGTTCAGTCTCTACATAACATTGCCCCAAGGAGCACCACCAGGTGTGCTCTGCTGTGGAAACCGTCCCTAAATATGTTTGTGTGTATGTGGGGGAGCTGGAGTGATAGCACAGCGGTAGGGCATTTGCCTTGCACGCAGTCAACATGGCAGACCCAAGTTCGATTCCTCTGCCCCTCTCGGAGACCTGGCAAACTACCGAGAGTATCTTGCCCACACGGCAGAGCCTGGCAAGCTCCCCGTGATATATTGGATATGCCAAACACAGTAACAACAAAGTCTCCAATGGAGATGTTACTGAGCCCGCTCGAGCAAATCAATGAACAACAGGAGGACAGACAGACAGATCGTAGTTGGGGTAAAGGGTGTGACTGTGAATATACTTCAATATACTTCAGTGGTAGATATTTGTCTCAAAAGTATGAGGTTCTGGATTTAATTCTTGGCACTCTAACCAAAATCAGAATCACACAAAAATGAATACATGATGCATGAATTATTTTTCAAATTACAAAGTGTAGAAAAGTAATAATATTCCTCTTATGGTTGTATAATCTAATAAAATAATAAAACTGTCGAAGTTATCTTATATAATATTGTCATATATTATACACAAAGGAGACAGCTTTGTAACATGTCCTCTAACTTCCTAGATTTTGGTCTGAAAAAATTTGGATGACATGAATGTAGGGTCTATAAAAGAAAAACAGCCTGAATAAAATCAATCTCATGGAAATGATTAGATGAAAAGATTTCTCAACTCAAAAATATCTCTTAGAAAAATTTAAATATACGAGGATTATGAGAGCATAAAGCATTGTTTTCAGAGAAATAGATTTCATCATGTTCTGCTAGTAAGGTGTCTAAAGTCTAGAATATTCATTATAGGAACCTTCTGCTAACTGTGGCATACCTCACAAATATAGCAAAAATATTTGATCAATTGTATTAATAAATTATTATGACTATCCAATGCATATTTATCTACTCTTTGCCAAAAAACTGCAGTTTTATATTTCATAATGTCCAAATTCAATAATCTGGAGGTAACTCTTGCTTTGGACTGGAGTGATAGCACAGCAGGCAGGGCATTTGCCTTGCATGCAGCCAACCCAGGTTCGATTCCTTCGTCCCTCTCGGAGAGCCCGGAAAGCTACCAAGAGTATCCTGCTCACACGGCAGAGCCTGACAAGCTCCCCATGGCATATTCTATATGCCAAAAACAGTAACAAGAAGTCTCACAATGGAGACTTTACTGGTGCCCGCTCGAGCAAATCAATGAACAACAGGAGGACAGTGCTACAGTGCTATACCTCTAGCTTTAAATATAAAGAAATAATCCATACATACATTATAAACTGGTAATCAGTATACAAATGGGAGTTATTCTTCTTAACTATTGTCATTATTATGATACATGTTTTGATTTGGTTTGTGAAATAGAATTATACTCAAGAAAAATAATTTAGGGATGGAACTGTGTCTCAGTTCTTGAGAGCTTTTCTTATATCTATGAATGAGATCCTTGATTCAATTCCTGAAACTGCAAAAATAAGTAAATAAAGTAATTACAATAATTTAAGTAGCCCATATATACATGACATGTTTAGTTTTAAATGTTCTACTAGTTGCAGTATTTTGAGCAAGATATGTAAGAACTTACTTTACTAATTTATCTTGACTTAACATATAACTACTGATAAATTCTTGAAGACAAATAATCTTATTGTTTTATGTCATCTAATTTGAAGATGAAATACATTCTTTTCACATAGGTCTAACTCTATGGAAGATAACAATATTCACACTTCTTATAAATTAATGATCTTGTTGAGACTAGGAACTGCATACCAGTCTCAGATTATCTCTCTACAAGATTTAGTTTTATGCATATTACTATATTTGGATTCTATGTGTCACAAAAGCATACTCTGTATCTTATGCAACAAGAAACAAAAATTGGTAAATCTGTATTAAGATGCCCACTATGCTTATTAGGCTCTAGAATAAATATCACCAAGATATGGTACCAACTATATTGTACCAACTTGACAATTTAGAATAGTAAAACTAGTTATGACAGTTCCTCAAATTAAAAAGAAGAAAAAAGTACTATGTAGTTGAGTGTAGGATTTGTGTATTTGAGACTCTGATATGGTCACCGCCCCCAAAACAAACAATTTTAAAAAGTAAATTATTCTGATTGTTTTCTATTTATTCATTTTGATTTAGGACCACACTCAGTGATGCTCATGGCTCCCCCTGACTCAGCATTCAGGGATCACTCCCGATGGTGCTCTGGGGACCACATGAGATGCTGAGAATACAATCCTCGGTGACCACGGGCAAGATAAATGCCTTACCCACTGTACATATCTTCAACCTGTGCTCTTATTTTTAAAATATATAGACAGGCATATTTAAGGGCTCTGGAACATCATATCTGCAATGTTTTCTCAAATGTTATAGAAAAATAATTATAGATACAAAAGGGAAGAGGAAGTAATGATAAAGCAAACATGGTGAAATATTAACATGTGGAGAATCTGGGTAGAAAACATGTGGTAATTCTATGCAACTTTTAAGTCTGCAACTTTTCCAGAGATGGAACTTGGTTTCACAAGATTAATTGCAGGGACTTTAAAAAAAAATGCTTGCTTTGACTACATTTATGATTTCTGGGGTCAAACCTCAAGTGCTCAGTGTTTCCTCTTGGCTCTGACATCAGAGATCATTCCTAGTGGGGCTAAGGGGACTACATGCGGATCTAGGGGTGGAATCTGAGAAAGCTGCATGTGGAGTCATTTTCCTACTCACTGTATTTTCTATCTGACTCCTAAATTGAAGTGAGCGATAGCACAGCGGTAGGGTGTTTGCCTTGCACGCAGCCAACATGGCCGACCCGAGTTCGATTCCTCCGCCCCTCTTGGAGAGCCCGGCAAGCTACTGAGAGTATTTCGCCCGCATGGCAGAGCCTGGCAAGCTCCCCGTGACGTGTTCGATATGCCAAACACAGTAACAATAAGTCTCATGATGGAGACGTTACTGGGCCCGCTCGAGCAAATCTCTGTTAGTCTCATGAAATGCTACTTCCAGAATTTGTGACAAAGGAAGCTAATTTTTGTGTCTATCATACTTTCCTGGTTAGAATCATTACTTCTTCTTTTTTTTTGCTTTGAATTCTCATTTCCTTTTTAGAATCATATTTTAACAAAGATAACACTAGTCATTATCCATGCCTGGTGCACCATAGTTATCCCCAATTTCTATCTAAAAGAATTACAATATTCTAGAATTTTTCTATACAATATTGGCAAGAATTAAGGCATATTAAATCTCTGTCTTTTGATTCCAAAGCTTTCTACGTTCTTTTAATTTAGCAACCAAGAAAAGGTAATAACAACACAGATGTTATTTTGATTAGCTAATACTTGAGAATCAAATTCTTTACCAGTTAATCCATCAAGACTATGACAGAATTCACCCCAGCCTTAAGGAGTTTATTTTTTAATGCTTTGACTTGTGCACAGTTTTTAATTAAAACAAATATTTCACAAGTCCTTCCCACAGCTATGTATGTGAAAGGAGGCAATTAGACTCTACAATGGCATGGCTTAAGAAGAGTCACTTTTCCATGATAGCCTTAGGAATGTTTTGCTTCCAGGCCTCCACAGTGCTTTTCCTTTGCCTAGAATGCTCTTTTCTTATTGAGGCACATTTATCTTTGCCTAACTCTTGCTCCCAAGAGCAAATAGAACATAGGTTGCAAGTCCAGAAAGCCTTCATTCACTCAACACCAAGTTGAATGACCTGTGCATTTTCAAATTCCTTGACCCCCAAACTGGTCATTATTGCACCTATTGTGTCATTAGAAATGTGTTTTCTCTATTCACAAGCAAATTCCAGGAAGTCAAAGAGAACATATCACCTACCTCTAATCCTGGTAAAATTCCTGGCATTTAGTATGTTAACAAGTATTTTTGAAAGAACAAAAACTAAATCATTGTTGTTTACTTAGTAACTATATCTTTGCTAATTTAACAAATGTGTTATATTGAACACTTATTAATAAAAAACAAACTCTTTAGAGCTTTATCTAATTCTCCTTAACTGGCTTTATGATCTAAAGAAGACATTTAACTTCTCTAGGGGAAATGAATTTATTTACAAAAACAATTGTGTTGGAATAAATAATGTCTTAGACTCATTATAGCTCCTAAAAGCCAATCTTTAAGTTAAATTTCTCAACCTAGCATAATGCAAGCAGGAAGGTCTTTTATTACATCGTTCTAATCCCTCAGATAAAATAATTTTATTTTAAAGCAAGAGTAAATCATATATTCCAAATTTGAATTTCAGTTTATCAGAAAATAATAACTTTATTGGATCAGCTTTGATTTTTATTTTAATAGGTCATAAATAAATGGGTCTAAGAGAACATTACCAAAAAACTCAGCAAACTGATGACATATACAGAAATGACCTTTGAAGACTTCTTAATTGAAAAAAGTATTTAATAAGTATGAAGCTTTAACTGGGTCCCTAATAATGTTATAATTAACTGTATTGTCAACATCAGTCAAACACTGACTGCTGCCAGATAACTTTGAGCCTGAAGCGAGGGTGGAAGTATAATTTCTGGAGAAGAGGCCATTTCAGAATGAGTACTCATGCCTTTCATTGCATTCAGATCATTTTGCAACACACCTAGTAATGTTTCGTATTTGCAAAACACATTCCTATGGCAAGAAGGGTATATAACCTTTTCAAAGTTCTTACATTTTAGAAGTTTAAGGCAAAGAAAATAGAATAGCTTTCTTAATTAGCCAGCATTAAATAGTAAAAATCAGGTCATTAAGTTCCATATTTAATATGGACCAAAGGAAAAGCTCTTGAAGGACTATCTATAATGAATAGTCAGATGTACGATTATAATTTAACACTTCTCACTTTAATATACATAGTCAGCAGTAGTTTAAATAGTACTTAGACGTGCTTTTCTAAGAGTTTTTATGACCATTAGCTCATTCAAAAATCAACTTCTTAATAAGTTGAGTAATTCTTTAAGATTCTAACAAACATTCCCAAGGGATAATTTTTCTGACAGCACACAGGAAATATTTCCTTTGCCTTTAAGTTTTCAGATCAGCACTTGAAAAGCCTGTCTATGCAAGAGATTACTGGAATAAAAATGCAGCCACACCCTCTTTAGATGAGAAAGCTAAGAGCAGATCCTCTGTCATGAGTAAACATAACATTAATTTCAAAATGTTAATTACAAATGGTAAGTCTTCCACTAAGAGGTTTGCCTATATTCAAGTTTCCTTAACAAAAGAAGAAAATAAATGAGTTCCTGCTGTTTTGAAAGAATTACCTGAAACCCACACTTCCACCATTTCATCGGAGTTGCTCAACTATTGCAAACTCATAATTTGTTAAGACAAAAAACATACTCTTATTTCTTGTTCATGGTAACAAACCAACCCCGTACAAGAAGGTAGTATTTAAAGAAGAAGAAAAGAAAACTTTCATCCTCTTTAAAATTGTCTTTTCTAAGTAAGTTTAAAAAATACACCGGGGATTTGCCAGATAAATACCCAATTAAAAATGCTTATGAAAATTCATTAAATGAAACTTTATTAAATAAATCCTACAAAAGCAGTAACATTAGTATCACTTTGGAAAAAGTTTCACAAACTTAAAGCTGTGACTTACCTAGTATTTTCCTCTTTCTTTCAAAGAACTGAAGAGATTCTTCTCTGTGTGTTTCACTGAGAGTGGAGCCTTGGACTTCTCTTTTATAGAGTTTGAAAGGAAGCCACACCTAGCAACCAGAAATTAGTAATGGGCTGCTTTCTGTTTGAAATACTCGGCTCAGCCTTGCCCCAAACAAAGTGAAATAAGTCTTGCAAAACTATTTGCTGAACCAACTAATAGCTGACAGCACAGAGGAAAAGAAACGGGACAGATTTTTCTCCCTTTTATTTATTTATTTTTTTTTTTTGCTTTTCCCCAAAGGACTACAAAGCAATAAATTTCTCAAAATGCCCTAAAATTCACCCCATTCCTCATAGCAACCATTGCCATATTATCTAAAGAAATTGTAAATTTAAAATGTATAGAGAGAGTCCAAGGAAGGAGAAAGAATATTTACCCAATACCCATCTGATAGGGTGTTAATATCCAGGATATAAATGACAGTAGTAGAATTGTAATCTCCAACACCATCAAAAAATGGAGAGAAGAAATGAACAGAAGCTTCCTCAAGATGAAATGCAAATGATCAAAAGACACATGAACAAATGCTCTACGTTTCATCAGGGAGATGCAATTCAAAACAACAATGAGATATCATCTCACACCACAGAGACTGGCACACATCAAAAAGAACAAGAACAACCAGTGCTGGTGCAGATGTGGGGAGAAAGGAACTCTTACATTGTTGATGGGAATGCCGAATGATCCAGCCTTTTTGAAAAACAATATGGGTATTCCTTAAAAAACTAGAAATTGAACTTTCATATGACCCCATAATACCACTTCTGGGAATATATCCTGTAAAAAGTAAAGTAAAGGCCCTCCCGTTGATCATCGATTTGCTCAAGCGGGCCCAGTAACGTCTCCATTGGAGACTTTGTTGTTACTGTGTCTGGCATATTGAATACGTCACGGGGAGCTTGCCAGGCTCTGCCGTGCGGGCGAGATACTCTTGGTAGTTTGCCGGGCTATCCGAGAGGGGCAGAGGAATCGAACTCAGGTCGGCCATGTTGGCTGCATACAAGGCAAACGCCCTACCACTGTGCTATCGCTCCAGCCCATATCCTGAAGGTGATAAAAAAAAAATCACAGTAGAAATGACATCCGCACCTGTATGTTCATTGCAACACTGTTAACAGTAGCCAGAATTTGGAAACAATGGAGTACTGGAGAACAGATGACTAGTTAAAGAAACGTTGGTACATCTACACAGTGGAATACTATGCAGCTATTAAGAAAGATGAAGTCATGAAATTTGCTTATAAGTAGATGGCCATGGAGCGTATCGTCTAAGTGAAATGAGTCAGAAAGAGAAGGACAGACATAGGATGGCTGTATTGATTTGTGGAATATAAAATAGCATAATATGACACTGACATCTAAGGACAGTAGAGACAAGGGTCAGGAAGATTGCTCCATGGTTGGAAGCCTGCCTCATGAGCTGGGGGAGAAGGAAGCTGGAATAGAGAAGGGATCGCTAAGTCAACGATGGTTGGAGGGATCATTCGCGATGGGACATATGTGTTGAAAGTAGATAAGGGACCAAAAGTGATAACCAAATATTGCAGTATTTGTATTGTAAACCATAATGCCCAAAAGTATAGAGAGAGTATGGGGAAAATTGTCTGCCATAGAGTCAGGGGAGTGTTGGGATGGGGAGGGGGGATACTGGGGACATTGATGTTAGAAAATGTGCACTGATGGAGGGATGGATGTTTGATCATTGTATGATTGAAATTCAAATATGAAAGCTTTGCAACTATGCCTCATGGTGATTCAATAAAAAGTACATATACCAAATGTATAATTTTTTTTAACTCAAAACTAAAACTAAAGAAATTATGACAGAAAAAAAACCTTCAGTTAAACCTTTATTTTACTTCATCACTTATTTGAGACATCTTAACTTCTTCCTTTTAAATATGTTTCTATTTTTGTAATATAGGCATAATATTACCTGGGGCTACACAACAGAAATCTCAATCAGTAACAAATGGTGCATATTCATAAGTTTTAATACTAAGTAGTGCTGCTGAACACATTGTTCTTTTGTATTCACAAGCATTCCTGCCTTCAGAACACTTTCTTTTCATTGTAAATAAGAGAAATAAATCTCTAGATTTAAACCATGTTTAAAGGTAAAATCTAGCATTGTGATTAATTCTGACATACAATGCATTACCACTGGAAAAAACACTATCCATAAAAATTCTTTCCCAGGCAGGTGTTAATTACAAAAGATCCTTGATTTCTGAGTACTTGAATGACAAACCAGAACTATAAATTGAGAAGATTATTGGTATAGGGTCAATAACAGAAATATCCTACCCAATGCAAGGAAAGAAAATATTCTGGGGATTGATGACAATTAATTTTATTCATAAAACTTTACTAAATATCATATAGCATGTCCATTAAGTTATGCACAAGTATAAATTCACTTAAAGCATTAAAAGCATTAAATTTTTGTGCTACTTTTATTTATTTATTTATTTATTTTGCTTTTTGGGTCACACCCAGCGATGCACAGGAGTTACTCCTGATTCATGCACTCAGGAATTACTCCTGGCGGTGCTCGGGGGACCATATGGGATGCTGGGAATCGAACCTAGGTTGACTGCATGCAAGGCAAACGCCCTGCCCGCTGTGCTATTGCTCCAGCCCCATTGGACTAATTTTAGAGATCTGTTTTTGTCTCATGGATAGATGGTACCAGAAATTAGAGATGAAATTCATATACATATATGTCTTATAAAGTAAATACATATATAATATATTAAGTTTAGAAAAAGCAATGTAAATAATTTCTTAATATTGTCAATGTTTATGGATAAACAACTTCCTTTGATATTGGAAGGCCAGGGTTTGATCCCAGGCACTACAGGATCTTCTAAATAATCTCTGAGCACAGAGCTTAAAGTAGCTCCTGAGTACTGTAGGGTATGGTACATATTTTTTTAAAAATTAAAAAAAAAACGTTTTTAAAAAATTACTCATAATACATTCTATGGTCTCAGTGCTAATGTCAAAGAATTCAACAAATCCTAAAGAAGGAATTCCATTTGATCTCAGTATTTGAGAAGAGGCCTATCTGTCTGCCTTACATGATTATTGCTATTATGAATCAATCTTGACAAACTTAGACAAAACACCACACTGATTTTGTCAAATATTTTCTTCTAAATATAGTAGTAAGTGAAATTAAATTGTAGAAATAAAATAAAAAAGAGCACATTGCTAGCAACAGGTCAGGGATAGCCAGGGGTTAAACACTTTCTGTACTTGAAATGCCACGTACTAGAACTCCAAAAAAATGACTCACTCTCTTCTTGTTTCTGTAAGATGATGACTCATAAGCATTTACTTTACAGATCAGGAGGAAACAAATATAGCAGTCAGGCAAGAAAAAGATATTAAGGGCATCCAAGGTAAAGGTAAAGGTAAAGGCCCTCCCGTTGATCGTCGATTTGCTCGAGCGGGCCCAGTAACGTCTCCATTGGAGACTTTGTTGTTACTGTGTCTGGCATATCGAATACTCTCGGTAGCTTGCCGGGCTCTCCGAGAGGGGCGGAGGAATCGAACTCAGGTCGGCCATGTTGGCCGCTTGTAAGGCGAACGCCCTACCCGCTGTGCTATCGCTCCTAAGGGCATCCAAATAAGAAAGAAAGAAATCAAGTTCTCACTACTTGCAGATGACATGAAACTGAATTTAGAAAACCCTAAAGCCTTTACTAAGAAGCTCCTATAAACAATAGTCTTTTATAGTAAAGTCACAGGCTATAAAATCAATACCCAAAAGCCCATGAATTTCCTATGTGCAAATAATGAGAGAGAAGAAAGTTACATGGAAAAAGCAATCCCATTCACAATCATGCCTCTGAAAATCAAGTATCTCAGAATAAGTTTAATTAAGGAGGTAAAGGACCTTTACAAAGAAAACTTCAAAACACTACTTCAAGAATTAAAAGAGGACACGAGGAAATGAAAATACATCCCCTGCTCATGGATAGGGAGAGTTAACATTGTCAAAATGGCAATACTCCCAAAAGCACTATACAGATTCAATACAATCCCCTTAAGGGAACCTTCGACATTCTTCAAAGAAATAGATCAAACACTCCTGAAATTCATATGGAAGAACAAGCCTCCATGAATAGCTAAAGCAGTTCTTGGGGCAAAAACGATGGGAGGCATCACCTTCCCCAACATCAAACTGTACTACAAGGCGGTAATGATTAAAACAGCATGGTATTGGAACAAAGACAGAACCACAGACTAGGAATAGGGTTTAATATCCTTACATACACCCTCAAATATATGATAATCTAATCTTTGATAAGGGAGCAAGAAATTTAAAGTGGAGCAAGGGAAATCTCTTTAACAAATTGTGCTGGCAAAACTGGACAGCACCATGCAAAAAAAATGGGCTCTGACCTCTACCTAACATCATGCACAAAAGTCAGATCAAAATGGATTAAAGCACTCAACATCAGACCAGAATCCATAAAGTACTTTGAAGAAAAGGTTGGCAAAACTCTCCATGACATTGAAGCTAAAGATATCTTCAGCGACAAAACACCACTGACCAAGTAAGTGGAAACAGAAATAAACCTAGGATAATGGAGATAAGGGCCAGGAGGATTGCTCCATAGCTTGAAAGCCCGTCTCACATGCTGGGGGAAAAGGCAGCTGGGATAGAGAAGGGACCACTAAGTAAATGATGTTTGGAGGGAATGCTAAGGATGGTAGATGCGTGCTGAATGTAGACTATGGACCAAACATGATGGCTGGCGCTTAGGACCTGTGTTGCAAACCATAATACCCCAAGTAAAAGAGAGTAAGAGGGAATGTGCCTGAGACAGAGGGAAGGGGTGGGAAGGGGTGGGGATGGTGGGAGGGATACTGGGAACATTGGTGGTGGAGAATGGGCACTGGTGGAGGGATGGATACTCAAACACAATGACTGAAGCATAATCACAAAACTGTATCTCATGGTGATTCATTGAAAAAAATTTAAAA